CAAGCTTCTGGGGTTGGGGAGCAGAGCACAGGTGACAGCATTGGGCCTAGGCTTGGTGGAAGAGAAGCTGGACCCAGAGGGTGGATAGCTCCAGATTTCAGAGCTGTCAGAATAGCTGGGAGGAGGGAATAGCAGCCAGGGGCAGACTGTGGTGATCAAAGATGGTGCTAAAACTTTAGAATAATGTGCAAGTTACTTTCTAGTTACATTTTTCTGAACTGTTGAGATGATGCAGGGGATGTCTCTCTTAGTCAGAGGGAGCTTGACCAGCTTGTGCAGAACCCTCGATTTGATCCCAGCACCACATAAATAAATAACAGAAGGAAAGATAGTGTGCGTGTGGGGCTCTGTCAGATATATTAGCTCTGTGTATGTTGAAGTAATATAGAGCTTTTCCCCCATAATCCACTGTAGATACTTTATAGTGCATGGAATCCTGGAGTTCTTATTTTGAATTTCTGTGTGTAAGGGTGTTTTCTTGGCATGAATATCTGTCTGTTCTCTATGTGTATACAGTGCCTGCAGAGGCCAAAAGAGGGCATCGGATCCCCTGGGTCAGGGTCAGAAATCACCATGGCCTTGCTGTTCTCACTCTGGCAGTACAAAGGCAGCGGCAGCCTGTGTGATAGGCGTGTTTGTAGTAGCTTTAGCAGTGTTTGTTTTAACCGTCATCCATCCTAACACAGTCAATTCTTTTTTAAGCTCCATTTTATTTCTAGTTACTTGGCTGCATTCCAGAATGATTTTGAAAGCCTCAGTGGTGAAGAGCAGTCCGCTACAAAAGAGGACATGCTGCTTGAGGTCAACAGGTAAGCTTTGCCTTGTAAAGTTGCTGCCAGTCGGTGCGGTTTTGTCCTGAGACTGGAGATGCTGATGTGGCTCTACTCACCTGCTGCTGTCCTAACATCAGTAGGAGAGGACAGTGTGGGTGACTGTGGGCTGGAGAAGCTCCTGCTCAGGGAACAGCTTCCTTCTGAGTACATAGGGTGGGTTTTCAGGAGCTGCTATCAGCTGGGTTCTATATACTCCCCTGCAGCAGAGCATGGCCACCCCAGTGTCCTGTGTTCCCTGGCCAGGCAGCTGAATGCAATCACACCAGTAAGCATTCCCGTGGTAGAGGTGGGAAGAGTCCAGTCCCTTCACATACAGTCCCACAAAAGGGCCAAGGCAACAGCTCTTAATGCATTAAGAGAGATCCTTGGTAGCATGGCCATGGGTATGATGTCTTTGGTTCCCTGACTGACCTTGCATGACTTATGTGCTTCTGACTTTTGTGATTACAGATTTGCCCTCGCCTCCCATTTCCTCTGGGGACTTTGGTCCATTGTACAGGCCAAGATTTCATCCATTGAATTCGGGTACATGGTATGTTTCAGGAGCAGTTTTTTCTTTCTTTTTTCTTTTTCTTTTTTTTGGCTGCAAGGAAAGACTATAGTGTGTGAATGCTTGGCAGGAGCATTTGGTGACCTGGTAGCGCCAGGTTAGTTTGGCTCTGGAAACCCTTTTTGCTGGTGTTAGCTGCCTCACTCAAGGGCTATAGGTGCTGCTTGCCAGCTCCAGCCAAGTGCTAGCTGGGTCACTAAGTGAAGAAAGGTGACTGTGACGGCTCCCACAGTAAGGATATATATTCTTGTCACCACGCTGTACTCCAGCCTCAGATACCCAGCTTCATGTTGGAGGCAGACACCATTGTAAGTTAGACCATCATCTGCTCTAACACTAGAGCTGTCTTTATTCTTTTTTTTGTTTGTTTGTTTGTTTTTTGGTTTTTCGAGACAGGGTTTCTCTGTGGATTTGGAGCCTGTTCTGGAACTAGCTCTTGTAGACCAGGCTGGTCTCAAACTCACAGAGATCCTCCTGCCTCTGCCTCCTGAGTGCTGGGATTAAAGGCGTGCGCCACCACCACCCGACCCTGTCTTTGTTCTTGACATGGAGACAGGTCACACCCATACTAGGGTGACTGTATTTTTTTTTTAATATTTATTTATTATGTATACAATATTCTGTCTGTGTGTACGCCTGCAGGCCTGAAGAGGGCACCAGACCCCATTACAGATGGTTGTGAGCCACCATGTGGTTGCTGGGAATTGAACTCAGGACCTTTGGAAGAGCAGGCAATGCTCTTAACCTCTGAGCCATCTCTCCAGCCCCAGGGGGTGACTGTATTTTAGATGAGAGGTTTAGTAATGATGCCATCAGGCAAAGACAGGAAAAATGTGGATACTTAAAGTGGATTTGGGGGTCAGCAAGATGGTTCAGCAGGCAAAGGCCTCTGCCAGTAAGCCTCCTGATACCTAGTATTTAGTGCCCACGTGGGGGAAGAGAACTGACTGTAGCAGGCTGTCCCTTGTCCTCCTCGCATGCTCTGTGGTGTGATAAATGAATTGTGGTGATCGGATGATACTGTTAGATGAAACGGGCTTCAGAACAAGGATGGGCACCAGGCATGCAGGTGTGTTTCTGTGGTGTGGCGGTCCACAGCAGCAAGTTAGGCACTTAGAGGTACAGGCATGGGTTTCCAGGTCAGGTCCACCTGACCACACAGTGATGTGCTGCTTGCTGTCTCTCAGGAATATGCCCAAGCCAGGTTCGATGCCTACTTTGACCAGAAGAAGAAGCTTGGGGTGTGAATGGGATGACTCCACTCTTCACCACTGGACTGCAGGAGGCGGCTGTGCCAGGCCCTCGGTGGAGCGTTGCTGTGCCCACTGCCCTGGGCAGAAGGTCTGGACGGCTCACTACTGAGCATCGATGTGTATGATACTACAGACTATATTAAAGTGGAGTAACATTTCTTTCATCTTTGTTTACGCTCTCACTAGGACTCTGAACCATGATTGGAAGCAGAAATATAGTACAATAGTGCAATAGCTCAGAACCCACCTAACCTGGAGGCCTTTTGGCTGCATGGCTGCAGCTTTCAGCCATATACGGCCCCAGCCGGACAGAGCAGTGCCATTTGGGTACTCTAAGCGCTGACTTAGGATATTAATGTACTGCAACACACCTGTGACCGGGCTTTGTAGATGACAATGTGACAGTGTGTTGGTGGTGATGCTTCTGAAGGGCGAGTGAGCAGACATACTGTGAAGTAGCTCATCTGGTCGAGCCTGAGCCGTGGGGTCTGTGGATGGGCAGACTTCCTGGAGAAGCAGGTACACTTGAGCTACATCTGCGAAAGTAGCTGCAGCCTTCCTGTGCCTGCCTACGCATGAGTACATGGGCCAGTGTCACTGACTGGCCGTGACGTCAGTGTCTCCTGACTGGGGAGGAGCAGTGGGGCCAGCTTCCTCAGCCTTTCTTGCCTTCCCTCTGCCTAGCCTGGAACTTGGATATCTGTCCAGGAATTCTCCAAAGCTGCTTCCCATCTGGTGCCACTGGGAGACAGCAGCTGTATGTGGGGTACCGGGGTGCAGGTGGACTAGAGCTGTGAAATCCATGTACATTAAATGCCCAATGGGATAAACTTAGAATTTTTTTTTTTACTCTGAATTCTGAATTGTTTTGTGCACATATTTCTGCTACCACCAAGACTGTATTATACAGAAAAATAAACAACTTGAAAACCATCCTCAGGCTGTGACCCTGCGTGTATGTCAGTGCCTTGTTCTCCATGTGACGAATGGCGGATTAGGTACCCTCCTCCTCATCACACCTCATGCTCTGTCACACCACATGCTGGTGTTTCCATGACTCCAGATAGCAAAGATCCTGGGATCGCTCACCCTTCCTGCTTCGCCAGGAGTTAAGGTCTAGACAGCAGCAGAGGAAGCTGCAGTTGTCCCTATTACTCTGACCAATACAACTTCAGCAGGAACACTGGCCTCTCTTGGAACTCTCCACTGGAGCTTAGGATGAACGTGACCATGGCTGCTTGTCCCCAGTCTCAGTGGCTTCTCACCAGCTGGCTCGAATAACAGACTCCTTCACCATCTGCTTGATCACTCCTCATGATCTTATCTTTAATTATGTGGTGGGGGAGGGGTAGCTGCACATAGTATGAGTGTCCCAGAAGGCCAGAGGAATAGGATGTCCTGGAACTGGAGTGAGCTGCCCATGTGAGTGCTGGGAACCAAACATGGGTCTTCTGCAAGAGCAGTAAGGCTCTTAACCACCCCATGCTTTCCTGAACCTTCCCAGTGGTGACAGTGTCTTTCCAAAATCACCTCTGTAGCCCTGTCCCCTTCCTGCCTGCTGATTCCTATCCTTGTGCTGAGCCTTTCCAGGACTTCTGACTGGTCAAGTGAGCAGGGATCAGGTCCATCCGAGCCTGATCCCACCCGTTAGTGGGGATGACTACCAGGACAGTGCTTGCTAGTGCTATGGCAATGCTGTTCCCATGGCAACCAGAATAACCTGTCCAAGTAAGTGTCAGCTAGGGTAGACCTACTGGTGTCTCCTGGGAATCATCCACAGCTCTTCTGCCCAGCTCTGTTACACTTAGCTTAGTCTGCCAAGCATGTGAACTGTCTAAAAGACTGCTATTCCCAACCCTGCACAGGCCACACCCCTCCCTGCAGCTTGGCCAGGACCATTGTGGCTAGCTGTGCCCAGAGCAGCTCTGGCCTCAAAGCAGCCTTTGTTGCTGGGCCTTCAGCTGCATGAGCTACTTTGTAACTTGGCTGGAAAACAGGGCCTCTAGTCTCCTACATGCACTCCCACCTCAGCCAAAGATGGAGGGAAGAGGACCTTAGGATTTCAGGGAGGCAGGGCCTGAAGTCAGCCAGTTTGTATGCCTCCTCCCACCTAACTAGAATCTACTCCCACCAAACTAGAATGTCCCTTCTTAACCCTAGATAACTCTTTTGCACCCAAAGAGTCTGTGGATGTGTTCATGGGTTCTCACAGCTACTTCTAAAAGTTTTAGGTCCTAGACCAGTGCCTCCTGCCCACCACCTCAGCTGAAGGTGGTCTAAGTATCCAGCATATTGGGAATCCAGAGCTCTGACCATTGTAGTGTCTGCCCAGTCCCAGAGCCCAGAGACAACTAAGGCAAAGTTCCTGGGCCAGCCAGTTCTTTATTCCTTTCCCGATTTGGAGAGGCAGGGATCACGGTGGATTTACTCATTGTCCACAGTGAAGGTGAAGGGACTGAGCTTGTAGCCAGTACCTGAGTAGAACTTGTTCTGGAACTCCACCCTGGGGGTGAGAAAGGGGCCAGTGAGGAGAATGCCACCCTCTTCCCTCCATGCCAAGGCTCACTACGGGTGTGCTCACCAGTGCAACCGCAGGGCATGCAAGAAGGCTGAGAGCCCTTCCATCACTAGCAAGATGGCCACAGTCAACACAGCAAAGGCAGCAAACACAGGGACCAGCACCACTGCTGCCACGCCCATCTCTCGACCCATACCCAGGCCTATGCGCATCACCATGGCCCACAGGACCTCAGATAGCTCTGCACATAAACAAGGGGACAGTGGGATCAAGGATGGGGCAATGCCTGTTAGCATCCCCACCCACAGTTGCATCCTTGAATCCTCCCTGGAGCTGGTGAGGCACCTCTGAGGGGAACCCAGTTTGACAGGGTAGGATATGGATGCCTGGGAGAAAGGTCACTCACGGGCATGGGCTAGGCTCAGGGCCCAGAGACGCAAGTAGGAGGCTGTGTTGGAGATGCAGCCCAGGCAGAATTCAATGGTGTGGATGGCCTGGTGCATAAAGACCTCAGAGGGGACAAACTGCACGATAAGAGGCAGTGAGACAGCAGCTGAGGCTGGCAGCCCCCTCCCAACAAGGAAGTGCTGTACCCACCGACCTCAGCTTCCTCATCATCCCCTGGGATCCCAGCCTTCTCCTCATCAGGGCTCCAGGTATTCTCCGAGGTGGAAGCATCGGAGGAGGCCAGAAGCTTGTCGCTGTCCTTGTCCTAAGAGCAGCAGGTAGCATCAACAGCTCCAGCCCCAGAGACAGCCCATGTCACCTGCCCATGCCACCCACCCAGCCGCATGGGGCTACAGGGAAGCAAGGAGCACCTCCCACGCGGCCCTCCTTCCCCGTACTCCTCCCTATTTCTACCTGTTGGCCTACCGGCCTTCTCTGAGTATTTCTGTGATGGTGCTGCCGCAGCAGGTACAAGGGTGTGCCCAGCAACAGGATAGGAACGGTGGCCAAAGCCAGGACCACCAGCACATACTGTACCACTTCCTGTGGGCAGAGGGCAAGGCCACCACACACAGTGTGTGCATGCGATGAGTGGCTCGGTATGGGACCCCTGAGAAGGGACTTGAGGTTCCCAGCACCCCCTGGTAAGGCCATCACCTTGGACATCATTGTCTGCAGGGATTCTGGTCCACAAGCCATTTCTCAAATGGCTCTGCAGGTCCAGGTGGCCCGGGACTAAAGCGGGGGTCCCCAGGGAAAAGGGTCTGAGCCTACCTGCCCATGGAAGAGTGGCTGATTGGTTGGGCTTTGGGCAAAGAGGAACATATTGATAAAGTGGATGAGGATGCTGGGAGCCGTGGAGGCGCTGGCAGCTGAGACCTGCAGCCACTTGTAGACAATGAGGAACACAAGATAGCCAAAGAGGCCCAGCAGGAAGATGAGTTCGGGCAAGGTCTCTAGCAGGAGCCGGTGCGCCTGGCCAAAGTGCCTGTGGGAAGAGACAGGTCACAGAACACTCCTGGCCCCACGAGGACACTGCCCATTCCCACTGGCAGCTCGGGCTCACATGTGGTTGAAGATGCTGAGAAACACCCCGAAGGCCATATGGGTGACCCCAAGGATGACAGACATCTTCATCTTGAAAGAGTTGAGGAAGCTCAGGTGGTTGGTAGCCAGGCTCCAGATCTGGGGCAGTGGGAGAAGTGGGTACTGAGGGACACCATGGTCAGTTTTGCCAGGGCACCCCCAGTTGTCTCATCACCTTCCTGCTCCCCGATAAACCCAACCAGAACTCCCTCCCAAGTGTTTGAGTCACACCTGTGCACCATGACCCGCAGTCTGGATACTATTTTTACAGGCCTCTCTGCCTGTGTGCCAGCCTTAGCACAGAAAGTGTCCAGTGCCAACTGCCAAAGGGGGCAGTGGACAGATGGAGCTGTGGCGCCCTGGCCAGCCTCCCAACGGCCTCACCACTCACATGCACCAGTGTGGCCCCACTTACCGGGTCAATGCCAAAGGGATACGGTCCCAGGAAGACACCGGTGATGTTGGGGTTCAGGGTGAGCATGGGATGCTGGGACAGATACTCGTCACTGCAGTGATAGTAAATGATGTCAGGGCTGCACAGTGGACCAGGGGCCCTAGGTGGGTAGGGATATAGGTCCTACCTCCAGCCTGACTGGTTGGCCATGGCGGCCACACTCCAGCCCGAGGGGAAAATGGTAGTGGCGCGGCTGAAACACTCGTTGTAGATGAAGCCAGTGTAGATGGAGAACAGACCCATGAGCAAGAGTAAGTAGCGCCCCCCGAAGAAGGTCTGCCAGATCTGGGGGAGTCGGGGAGATGGTGTGATGAGAGGCTGCTCAACGCTGTCCTGTCGTCTACCCCTGCCAGGCATGGATGGTTCGTACCTCATTTTGTGCGGCTTTCACGGCTGGCCGGTTCTCCGTGAGGACCATGGCCAAGGCGAAGAGAAACATGAGCAGTCCGTGACCCACGTCACCAAACATCACAGCGAAGAGAAAGGGGAAGGTGATGATGGTATAAGGAGCTGTAGGCAGACAGGAGACAGTCAGGCCGATTCCCACGGGGGGGGGGGGGGGGCAAGACCTGTCAAGAGCGTGTTCGTGAGGAAAGGATCACTCACAGTGTCAGCCCCCCATCTGCCTGCTTCTCGCCCATAAAATGGAGATCCCAGCCGGGCGGTGGTGGCGCACGCCTTTAATCCCAGCACTCGGGAGGCAGAGGCAGGTGGATCTCTGTGAGTTCGAGGCCAGCCTGGTCTACAAGAGCTAGTTCCAGGACAGGAACCAAAGCCACAGAGAAACCCTGTCTCGAAAAAACCAAAAAAAAAAAAAAATGGAGATCCCAGTGCCAGGCTGTGGGCACAGGTGGAACAGTCCCACCTGCAGTTAAAGCTGGAGCTGCTGCTGAGTGGCCCAGGATGGTCTTGAACTCCCGAAGTGACCCTCCTGATTGCTATTGCTTTGTTTGTGTGTGCTTGTGTGTGGATGTGGGTGGGGTCAGAGGACACCAGGTGTCATTTCCCAGAAGCCTTTCCATCATGACAGTGATTGTCATTATCCTGGAACTTCGCCAGGGAGCTGCCTGGCCCCAGCTCCCATGTCACCACCATTGGAGTTACAGCCATGCACTGCTGCGCCTACACAGGCTCTGAAGAGCCACTGGCGGTCTTCAGGCTTTGCTGGCCTAGCAGCTTCCCAGCTGTTGATAAGTGTTTTCTTAAAAACATTTGCTAATTTATTATCGGGACGGTGTGCCTGTGTGAAGGTCAGAGAACTTGTAATAGAAGGCTCTCCTCCTACGTGGGTTCTGGAAATTGAACTCAGATTGTCAGACTTACTGACAAGCTTTACTCAATGAACCATCTCTCTGGTCCCAACTATTACATTTAAGATCTTTAAGCTAGGCATGATGGCTCGTACCTGTAATTCTAGCACTCAGGAAGCCAAGGCAGGAGAATTGCCGTGAGCTCAAGGTTAACCTGCAGTATAGTGTAGGACCCTGTCTGGTGGCGCACGCCTTTAATTAGCTCTAAGGAGGCAGAGGTAGGCAGATACTGTGAGTTCAAGGCCAGCCTGGTCTACGTAGAGAACTCCAGGACAGCCAGGACAACAGAGAGAAACCCTGTCTTCAAAAAGCCAAAAACCAAACCAAAAACAACAGTAACAACAACAAAACAAACAAACAACAGTGCTAAACAAATCAAAAAGGGGGAAGAACAAAAAAAGCTTCACATATAAATATCCAAAGGACGGAGAGCCAGGTGGTCCTGGTGGGCAGTAAGCAAGTTCCAGAAGGCCAAACTGGTTATCCTAATCTCAGGAACTAGGGTTGGGAGGAGAGTCCTAGTGCACACATCTAATTATGGGCTCATTTGTTATCCCTTCAGGAACTAGACTGTTGCCCTACCACCAGCACCTCAGACTGTGACTTAAAGAAGTGGGCATGTGCTGGGCGGTGGTGGTGCACACCTTTAATCCCAGTACTTGGGAGGTAGAGGCAGGAGGATCTCTGTTAGTTTGAGGCCATTCTGGTCTACAAAGTGAGTTCAATGACAGCCAAGACCATTATATAGAGAAACTGTCTCAGAATCAGAAAACAAAAAACAAAACAAAACAAATGAAAAAAAAAATGATGTGGGGGCTGGAGAGACGGCTCAGAGGTTAAGAGCATTGCCTGCTCTTCCAAAGGTCCTGAGTTCAATTCCTGGCAACCACATGGTGGCTCACAACCATCTGTAAAGAGGTCTAGTGCCCTCTTCTGGTCTGCAGACATGTACACAGACAGAATATTGTATACATAATAAATAAATAAATATTTTAAAAAAATGATGTGGAACTCACTCTTGTAGACCAGGCTGGCCTCAAACTCACAGAGATCTGCCTGCCTCTGCCTCCCGAGTGCTGGGATTAAAGGCGTGCGCCACCACCACCTGGCTGAGCCTTGAACTTTCTATGTAGCTGAGGATAACTGAATTTTATCTTCCTATTTATTTATTTGGTTTTTCAAGACAGGGTTTCTCTGTAGCCCTAGCTATCCTAGAACTTGCTCTATAGACAAGGCTGGCCTCAAACTCAGAGATTCATCTTCCTCTGCCTCCCAAGTGCTGGGATCAAAGTTGTGCGCCACCATCGCCCAGCTATGACTGTTGTTTTTTTTTTATAAATATTTGTAGTTGTTGAAAATTTTTATTTATTTATATTTTATGTATGAGTTCTCTGCATGTATATCTAAATGCCAGAAGGGGGCATCAGATCCTAACACAGATAGTTGAGAGCCACTATGTGGTTGTTGGGAGTTGAACTCAGGACCTCTGGAAGAGCGGCCAGTGCTCTTAACCTCTGAGCCATCTCTCCAGCCTGACTCTGAATTCCTGATCCTCCTGAGTGCTGGGATCCTGTGCTCAGTTTCTGCTGAGGATTGGGCCCGGGACTTCGTCAACTTGCAAGCACTCTATCAACTGAGCCCCACCCTCACCAGTTATCCCAACTTCCAAAAATTCAGCTCGGCCGAATGCGCCGCCACTACAGGCTGCTCCGGGCGCTCCGACAGCCACCAGCCTTCTCAACACTTCTCTAAGGTTTGTGCTCGCGTTATAGACCGGGAAAAACGAGACCCACAGAAACTAAGAAACTCATCAAAACCAGTGAGCTAGACTTCAAGCCCCTCCCAAGCCTGGTTCCTGGACTGATCCTTGCTGGCTCCTTGTGGATTTAACAGCAGAAATAAATATAAAGTCCCGATGGGGACTAAAGCAAACTGGGGAATAAGCCTCTATTGCAAGAGGATGGGGTGGGCCCAGCTCCTAGCCCTCTCAAAGTGTGTACCCCGAAGGCAAAGGCCTCCCTGAGATCCGGACAGAAGCTGAGAAGGCTGGTCCCTAGTGAGGATGCAGTGGCTCTCACCAGGGTTGACTTCTCGGTAGCGGCCCACACCATAGGCATCCACAATGCCCTGGAAGCTGGCGGTGAAGCGGTTGGTCCGGATGAGGGTCGGAGGCATGTCCCGGCTGGGTATGCGGTGAGCGACAGCACTCACTCCTGCCTCGCTCTGGGGTGCACGGGGGTTGAGAGGCAGAAGCTGATGGCACAGGCTTCAGAAACCCTGGAGCCCCCACCCAGGCCCAGCCGAGACTGAACATGGCAATGGGATGGCGTGGAGGAGCTTGGTCAGCCTGTCAGCATTTGCCAAAGGAAAGTGTGCCTCTTCTCATCAGGTAGCCCAGGAGAGGGACCCATGCCCACTCTGGAGAACCAGCTCTGCACCACCAAGGTGTGTGCTATAATGTCCCCTTGGGCACCACCATTGGGAAAGGGCCTGAGGTCACATAACCGCTGCTTTGGAAGCGCAACTTTATAATTCTCTTGTGTAGCTTGCAGAGACGCCGAGAAATTGGAGGAGGGAGGGTTATGGGGCCAGGACCATGTGGGTAATGCCCCGGAGGAAGGGACTTCTAAGAAAGAGACCCCCGTCCCAATCCCACGGCAAAGGTGAGGTACTGGAAGCTTGAGGTGACGAGAGCAGAAGGAGGAACAGCAAAGAAAGCATGTGCTCCTGGCAGCCCGTATGCTCACTGAGCCATCCTGGAGCGCCTGCTGGAGGGTGGGCAGGTCCCGCGTGGCACACCACACCTCGGCAATGAGGCACTTGTGGGTGGTGCTCACACTGCACTGATTGAGAGCCAAGTACACAGCCTTCATCTTGCGGATCTGCACCTGCCCTGGTGGCAGCAGCTGCTGTACCCGGCCCAACACCTGGCTCAGGAATCGTTCTGCTTCCCCCAGGACCTGGGACCAAAAGTGGCAATGAGAAGGGACAGTGAGGGAGGCTGTGGGGATCAGGCCACGTGGGTGCTCACCTCCTGAAGCTCCTGGCTCTGCTGCTGCAGCTGCTGCAACACGGCATGCCGGGCTTCCTCTTGCTCCAGGTAAGGGAAGACGTGACAGTGGAAGCTGGTGGGGAGATGGTGTTTTAGGAAGCCACCAAGCAGAGCTGGGGTCAGGACAAATTTGGTGGTGTTACAGGGGCCTGGGGTACACAGGGTCAGCAATATCTATCTGGGAGCCTAACGCGGCGGTAGGGGGCTGGACACCTACGGAGGCTGAGTGGTCACACACACGAGGCTCACCAGTCTGTGATCTTTCGGATCTTCTGACCGATCTGCTCACCCCAGTAGGAGATGACAAAGGTCATCCAAGTTGCAGGCTCACCCTGAGGGAGTCAGGCTTAGTTAATCCCTGGAGCCCTGGCTCCTCCCAACCCCCCCTCACCCCGCCCCTTGCCAGCTCACCGTCACCGGGTCCTCCAGCTGCCCCTCCGTCTCCCGAAAGCTGGCAATGAGGAAGCCGCGGCAGGCTCTCCAGAGCAGGCGCTCCAGGGCAGCAGCCTTGTAGGGCTCCACAGCACCTGCCACAAAGCTGCCAGCGGGGCTGGAGGGGGGCTGCAGCCTCCCATCCCACCCACCTCAGCAGGAAGCACCCCGGGCATGCTCCCACACGCAGAGACGCAGGGGTCATCCTGTCCCTTCTCTGGCTTATAGGAGAAGCCAAACTACACCACTCACTTGACCTTCAGGTCTGCATGTGGCCCCCGAGCGTCTGGAAGCAGGGGTGTTCTCTCAGAGGAGGGTCCTTCAGTGTGGGCAGCTGCCATCTGGGCACCAAGAGACATTGTGAGCCCCAGCCCAGGACATCTCCTGCCCCGTCCCTGTCTTGGCTGGGGCTCACCGGGGGGCCGTGGCTCTGGCTGAGCACAGCTGAGTGGAGCTGCAGCTGGTGCAGCTGGGCCCGCAGTGCCTGCTGGTTGCCTCGAACATTCCGAAGCTCCTGGGCCAGGCGGTCTGTCTCCTCCTGGATTCGCAGCAGCTCTCGGGGAGGTGGTGCTGGCAGTGTCCCCTCAGGTGGGGGCAGTGTCAGGCCAGCCCGCTGTACTTCTTCCTGTAAGAAGGCTAGACACAGAAAGGGGGGTCAGGGGAAGCCACACAGGGCCATGCTATCTAATAGCTACTATTAGCTAAGGGCTGCTAGACATGCAGGGAAATCCCAAATGCTCGTCAAGTGCTATTACTAATCCACTGAGTCAGAGAGCTCCAGAAAAATCCTCGGTCATACTGCTGTTCAGGAAGCTCTGCTCCCTGGGCTCTGCCCTCGCCTCTGGCCTACGAAGAAGCAGCCCAGCCCTCGACCCCAGCCTCTGCCCACACCAATCCACCTAGAGGAGAAAACTCAGCCCATGCCTCTTGTTTTCTGCCATTTATTCTGAGTTGTGGACTGACTCCAAGCTACTCCACAGCGCTGTAGGGCCTCTGCTCCACCCACTCAGAGTAAGGACACCCTACAGACTCCAGCAGCAACTCTGGTCGGTTCTGCCTGCATTCCCTGTCTCTGCCTTCCACCTGGGTAACCAAGGTACTTCCCCTCAGACCAAGTTTGCCCAGTCTCCTTCCGGGAAGGCAGCCTGGAACGTGGGCCTGAGCCCAACTTACTGAAGGTCTTCTCTAGCTCCTCGCAGCGCCGGACATCCACCACAAAGCGCCTCTGGAAGGCACTCACGGATGCGTTGAGCTGAGAAGGATATACAGAGGATTCAGAGTCTCAGGGAGGGGATCAAGGAGGTCACTGCTCTGGGGTCCAGCCCTGAGGCATCGCCTCCAAAACGTCGCTAGGTACCCAATTAGTCTAAAGATGAGCTGGAGCAGACTCAACCCAAGCCAGTGGGCATGGGAAGAGCACCTGTGCTAGAAGGAGGGGGTGGGATGCTCCTGCAGGGGGCCAGAGGACCAGGGGCCTTAAGAGGGCCCTTCTGGATGTGGGGTTACCTGCCCAAGACTCTGTCCCCACTCACGTCTCTAAACTCCACGAGGCCCAGCTCACCCAGCTGGCTCACACAGGTGTAGGCAGCCGCTGTGGGCAGCAGGAGCTGGACCAAGGCCACCTCTTCACTCCGGAACATGGAACCCATGATCCTTAGGACAGGCAAAAAGGTTAGTTAGGAGCCCTCTCCAGGCAGGCGTCCACACACCTGCTCCCATCCACTGGACAGATAGAGAAACTGAGGCCCAGCAAGGTGGAATGGATACGAAGTTTGTCTCTAATCTAGCTTTCCACAGCCTCCTTGTCCCAGGCCAGCCCAGCAGGGGCCAGACACACTGGCTCCGCCCAGTGCTCCAGAACCTCTCTCAGCCTGCCCTTGCTCTAGACTCCTGCTAATCCCTGGGATCCCAGGCTCTAGTCCTGAGGCTGTGACAGCTGACGTCCAGTGCAGCTGAGCGTCCAGTCGGCCTCCCTACACAGGCAGTGGGGTGGGGGTGGAGTGCCCTCTAGGTCTCCTGGGGCTAACAACCTGAAGAGGTTGATCGGCTGGGAGCTGCTTTTGGCCAGCTGGCTTGCCAGCATTTCCTGTGGGGTTGGGGACAGTTTTAGTGTTGAAACCAATGAAAGTGAAACTGTGGAGCAATGAACAAAAAGGCCTGGTGGCCTTGCTCCAACCCCAGCAGGCACAGACACTTCCTGATGAGCGTGGACTCCAGTGGGCCCTGCAGTTGCCCCCAAAGCCCACTCTCCCCAGGCCCTGGTCTGCAGCCAGGGGTCCTAGTGGGACAGTTTCCTCGGCACACTATGGAGAGGGACTTTAGGGCCCAGCTTGTTATATGGGTCTGCCCAGAGGCCACTTCCTCCCCAAGGCCTGGTTTTCTTAACTTAAAAGGGAACCACAGTCCTGTCCCTAGCCTGGGAGCAGAAAGAACTCAGAGGGTAACCAAAGACTTCAGAAGAGACAGGCCCTGAACAGGCAATGGTGGGCAGAAAGGGCTGGGTGCCATCACCCATGGCTCTGGCCACAGAGCAGAGGGCTAGGCACCAAGTCTCTAGGGTGCTGCCTAGATTGTGACCAACTCTGTGCCACTAAGGAGGTCACTTGCCCTCTCTGGGTCTGTATTTCCTCTTCATTAAATAAGACTCGGCCTTGCCGGGCGGTGGTGGCGCACACCTTTTAATCCCAGCACTCAGGAGGCAGAGGAAGGAGGATCTCTGGGAGTTAGAGGCCAGCCTGGTCTACAAGAGCTAGTTCCAGGAGGCAGAGGCAGGCGGGTCTCTGTGAGGGGGGAGGTGAGCTAAAGAACAGAACCTCTGTATCTTCTATAAATACCACCACGCCAAGGCAACCGGCCTTTTTCTTTCTTTCTTTCGTTCACTCACTCTTTTTTTTTTTTTTGGTTTTTTGTTTGTTTTTGTTTTGTTTTTCAAGACAGGGTTTCTAAGTACCCTGGTTATCCTGGAACTCACTACATAGATCAGGCTGGAGATCAGCCTGCCTCTGCCTCCAGAGTGCTGGTACTAAGGACGTGGGACGCGGGGCAGCCGGCGGCCACCACCACCACAATGGCCCACCCCAGCCTTATCTTATAGGTGAGTCAACTCAGGTTGAGTCAGGTGAAGTCTAAGGTCACATGGTCAGCTAGGCCCAAACCAGAGAGGGGTCTGTTGGAGACCAGCGGGAAGCTGCTATGATGACCTGTCCCAGCACCATAACCAACACCGCTGGGCTGCCCCAGTCGCGGACCCCCAACCATCTAGATACAAGACAAATGGAAGTACCTCCCTGCCCCCTGCAGTCCACACTGTGCACTGGGATTTAACAGCTCCTGTCTCCTGCAGCCAGCAGGGTATCATCCGCGGGAAAAACCCACACACACCGCTTGTGCTCCAGCCTTCCCCGGATGCCCTGAAGCTCGGTTTCACTCCTGCACCCCTTTCTTGGTCCTTCCTTAAGCCTCTTCTCCCAGCCCCTGCCTTTTGGAGGATAACGGCACGAGGAAAGGAGTTGGAATCTGCCTCGAGCCCCGCCACTTCCTAGTTAGGTGGCCTCTGTTTCCTCATCTGTAGAATGGGTCCCTCCCTAAGAACCAGACGCAGCAGGAGGCTCCCTGAGCTCAGGCCGGGTGAGGTGAACGCCGAACTTGCCCAGAGCTAGCAACCCATCCTCCTGCTCCTCCTTGCGGCCTGTCTGCACCCCATACGGCCTGAAACCGGCGCGTGGCCTCTGAGCTTCCTCCACCCGGAGTCGGGCGGGGTGCCTGGACCCCTGCCCGGGCAAAGGAAGCAGGTCGGGGGCAGGGCTGAGACTCCGCGGCCCCGCGGGACACTCACCCTGGTGGGCACGTTGCTCAGCGCCGGTTTAGGATCTGAGCCCGGGCAGCCGGCGGGAGCAGTTCACTCCAGCTCCGAAAGGCAGGGAGTGGGCGTGGTCTGGAGCGCCCCGCCCACTGTCCGTCCCGCCCCGCCCCCGCTGAGTTCGGGCTGTTGGGGGGGGGCACGACTAGAAGGAAGGTGGCATTTGGGAAGTTTTTAGGTGTCTCAGAATCGTTTACTCCAGGGACTGGGAGATAACCGACAACCGTGGTGCGGGGTAGGGCCTTGGGAATAGGCCACCTTCCCTTCCCTCTTAAAACCTACGTCCTGATGGGTCCTAGAACACAAAGGCTGGTACTAGGATCCAAGATGTGTTGCTATCCCCACCTCACCCAGACCAGTCTAAGCGTCCCAGAAGGCTGGCACAGGGCTGCCCCACTCTTAGGGTACCTCTCCACTGGCAGCAGGGCGTTTGTCAGGCCAATCTTTGCTAAGGAAATTGTACCCAGGAGGCCAGAAGACTCTCCAGGAGTTCCCAGTCTTGAGGTCCCAGTGACTGGAAACTGAAATTCAGGGTCATTCAACTGCCTGCACTTTGGACAGACTAGACTGTACCCACTGGGGACCACAGGAACAAGGGGCCCCTCAGCTCTGATGATCCTTGGACCCCATATAGTAAACAGGGCCTTGGTGTGTGTGGGGAGTATGGAATGAAAGCCTGGGGCTACCTAGAAATGGAGTCAAGGTGGGCATTCTCAGATCAGGCGTGAGAAGGACCCTCATACAAGTACAGCAGGGGTCATAGGTCAGTGCTCTTCAGTTTAGGCAAACCAATGACCACAGAACTGTTATGATTGCTCTGAGGTAGAGGTATACCTTCAGCCATGAAAAGCCAGCAGCCTCCCCGTGTGTGTGTACACTACACTGAACAGCCAGCCTCCGTGTGTGTGCGTACATGGAACAGCCAGCCTCCGTGTGTGTGCGTACATGGAACAGCCAGCCTCCGTGTGTGTGCACACTGAACAGCCAGCCTCCGTGTGTGTGTGTGTGTGCACACATGAAACAGCCAGCCTCCGTGTGTGTGCGTACATGGAACAGTCAGCCTCCGTGTGTGTGTGTGTGCACACTGAACAGCCACCCTCCCCGTGTGTGTGCACACTGAACAGCCAGCCTCCGTGTGTGTGTGTGCACATGGAACAGCCAGCCTCCGTCTGTGTGTGCGCACACATGAAACAGCCATTCCAGGGTCAGAGGAGCCACGCAGCTTGGCTGGGATTGCAAACTGGGAAGCTGAAGTCACGTAGCAGCCCGCGTGGAAGATGTAGGGAAAGGGGATGTAGCAAGTGGAGACATCCAGCTCAGAGGCAGCAGGACCTGTGTCATCCCCTTGTGACTGTCACCCCATAGCAGGCTTCCTGTTCCCTAAAGGACACCCTGGCCTGAGAGGCTCTCTGTGTAAGTGTACGCAGGCACACTCTGGCGCATGCTCACGAGGAAGCCGGAGGCCGATGGCAGGTGCCTTTCCTCAGCTGCCCACCACCTGAGGCATTTTTGAGACAGGGTCTCGCATTCAACTTGAAGCTTGCCATTTTGACGAGATGGACTGTCCAGCGAGCCCTCAGGGATCCTCCTGAGTCCACCCCCAGCAGTGGGTGGCAGACGTGGCTGCATTTGCATTTGTGTGCACTCTCAGGACAGGGACACTTTACTCACTGGGCCTCTACCCAGCCTCCTGGACTCTGACGGACTCTGGCCTAAAGCCTGGGAAGGCTCTGAGTCCAAACAACTACAGCAATGTAGGTCTGAGAAGACAGAAGAACTGGGGTCCACCTCTCAGACAGCCACTACCATGGGGACAACAGGCATGGTGACCAGCATAGCCACGCCCTGCGGAGAAGCCCACATGTGTGATAGTTCAGGGTCCTGTGGCCAACCACAAAGAGGCCTGCTTGGCCTGTGAGTCAGAGGATGACGGGGTCTGGCTGTTAGGTCTTGTGGGCACGCGAGCTTCTGGCGCCTACTGAGGGAACAAGGCCAAAGGCCCATGCACCCTGGTCTGGCCAGAGGATGCCACAGGCCTCTGGCTGTGTGGGGTGGGTTCCACCCTGGCAAACAGATACAACACAACAGGCAGTTGTGGGATCATAGCTTCTTTATGGGCAGCAGGGGCCACAAGACTCAGCCAGGTGGCCAGATCACCGGTACAAGTAGTCAGCCTGGATATTGGCGGAGATCTCGGCCTCCCACTTGTCCCCATTGTTGAGCAGTTTTTCCTTGTTGTACAGCAGCTCCTCATGCGTCTCAGTGGAGAACTCAAAGTTGGGGCCCTGCAAGAGGGAGGAAGTCAGCAAGGCAACCCCCGCCCAGGAGCCTCAGTGCTGGCTACCTCACCCGGCCCACTCACCTCCACAATGGCGTCAACAGGGCAGGCCTCCTGGCAGAAGCCACAGTAGATACACTTGGTCATGTCGATGTCATAGCGTGTAGTCCGGCGGCTGCCATCGGCTCTCGGCTCAGCCTCAATGGTGATGGCCTAAGGGAATGGTCACAGGTCACTGCCACTGGCAGACACCTCCTGGCCCTGGGTCTGCCCCTCACACGGATGCCCACATCCTCAGGCATCTGCTCAGCCCTCCATGAGCACCCTCACATGGCCCCTGTAGCCTCGGCCAGGGTTTTGCTCATCTCTTGCCCAGGTGACCCTCCTGTCTCACAAGGAAAAGGCTATCATCTGCTTTGCTCCTTGAGAACCTGTGCCAGGCGGTGGTGGTGCACTAGGGAGACAGAGACAGGTGGATCTCTGTGAGTTCGAGGTCAGCCTGGTCTACAGAGTGAGTTTCAGGACAGCTAAGGCTGCTACACAAAGAAACCCTGTTTTGAAAAACTAAAAAGGAAACCTGTAACCCTAAGGGGGTCCCTGGGACAGTAAGTGCCCAGTGACTGCCATATTGAACAACCTTTCTAGCAATCCCCACTGTTGGAGAAAATTAAGACTCAGAGAGGTCAAAGGATTTCCTGAAGTCACACAGTAATGAAGCACATAGACCAAACTTGAAGGTATATCTTTAACTGTTGGTTTCTGGGGTACAGCTGTATGCCAGCCAAGAGTAAGGAGGAACAGCCTGGGACCCACAGGCCAGGAGAACTGTTAAGAACTTGACACTCTCGAGTGGCATGCTCACTACTCACAGTGAAGCCTTAGGAGGCTCATCTTTTTGTGTTTTTAAGAGTGGGAATAAAGCTGGGAGGCAATGGTGCACGCCTTTAACCCCAGCACTCGAGAGGCAGAGGTAGGAAAATCTCTGTGAGTTCGAGGCCAGCCTGGTCTACAGAGCGAGTGCCAGGACAGGCTCTAAAGCAACACAGAGAAACGCTGACTCAACAACAACAAAAGAGTGGGAATAAAACCTCTACCAGTTACTGCTGCAGTTATAGGGAGGATATAGGGATGAGCCTGCTCTAAAGAGTGCCCACTGCCTAGAAGCCATGCCCGCTACTACTGCCAGGGGCACAGCTAGGAGCTGAAGCTAGGCATGGCAGGTCTTAGGGCTGCATCTGCTAGGGCTCCTGCTGGGCACACCAAAGCCACCTCTGCCTCTTACTATTTCCACGAACAGCCCCAACGGCAGACGCTTCACATAGCGCCTATGAGCATGGTCATGCCCGAGGATCAGCCACCAGGGATGGGAGCCTTGGTTGCAAGGCTTTGGCTCAAAGCCAGGACAGGCACACAGACAGGACTCCCGACACTAGCCCATGGCTCCTGAGCTCAAATGTTACACGGTCGACTGACTCCTAGGGTGGGGTATGGGTATGCGTGCCACATGGCCCACTTGGGATGGAGGCCACCACCGGCTTCCTGGCTCAGCACCTGGACATCAAGGCCTCACTGTCCACTCACAGGATGAGGGTTAGGACTTTTGCCAGGTGGTGCGGCAGTGCGTGTCTTTATCTTGGTATTCCAGAGGCAGAAGCAAGCAGGTCTCTGTGAGCTCAAGGCTAGCCTAGTCTACACAGCCAGTTTTGGGCCAGTCGGGGCTAACTAGTGAGACTCTGTCTCAAAAGAAAAAAAAAGGGACTTTCCCAGGGCTGTGTATCAAGGCAGGGCAGGGTTAGAGCTCACCTGCGCAGGACAGACGGCCTCACAGAGCTTGCAGGCGATGCAGCGTTCCTCCCCGGATGGGTAGCGGCGCAGTGCGTGTTCCCCCCGGAAGCGTGGACTCAGTGGGCCCTTCTCAAATGGGTAGTTGATGGTGGCAGGCTCCCGAAAGAGGTAGCTCAGGGTCATGCCCAGTCCTGTGAGCGGCACAGAGCTAGCACACATCCATACCCGAATCCCACTTCTCCCCACTGGCACTCACCTCGGATGAGCTCTGTCCACATCAGCGTCCGAGCTGCACGGTCAGTCACAGACTTCATGTCCATATCCAGCTCCTGTACATTCACATACTCTGCAGGAAGTCAAGACATGAGGTTAGGGAGTCTGCTCTGGAAGATGCAGCTCAACTCTTAATTCTAGGTGCAAGCAGGTAGGCTTAGCGAAAGGCCCTGGGAAGCCCTTCTGCGGCCCTGGGCAGCCAGTCTGCAGCCCTGGGAAGCCCATCTGCGGCCCTGGGAGGCCAGTCTGGGACCCCGGGAAGCCCGTCTGCGGCCCTGGGCAGCTAGTCTGTGATCCTGGGCAGTCAGTGCAGCCCTGGGAAGCCCGTCTGAGGCCCTGGGAGGCCAGTCTAGGGCCCCGGGAAGCAAAGCCTTACTGGTAACCCAAAGAGCCCCCAAGCAAAGCTTTTCAAGTTCCGGGTGAAAGGGTCGTGGGTCCCCCTAATGAGTCAAGCATTCCTCTTCAGCACACGCCTCCCTCCTTCAATGCCACCACAATGTCCGTCAGTCACATTCTCTTTTGATGAGGGTCCCTGGCCTCAGGTGTGCCGGCGACCAGGCATGTCGGAAGACACCAGGTGGTACTCACTGTATGTTGCTGCCACTGCACTGCTATGGAGGCTTTGGCCGCTGAGACATCCTGCAAGGAAAGGGTGACACTCTGCTGCTGGGACTTCATACCAGGAAGCTTGGCTCCCCCACCCCCAGGAACAGCTCCCTGCACCTACCTGTGCGCACAGCCTGGGCCAGGGCCCGTGGCAGCATGGGTGAGGTCAGACGGTTCATCTGCGGCACAGGAAGGAAAGGAGGGGACGGGTCTAAATCTGCCCTCTCCAGCACTGACTCCCACAGCGCCCCAAGCCTCAAGCTGACCTCACTCTGCTAAGACTCGCCTGGCACTCCAAGTTCCTTCTACTGCAGCTCCTAAGAAGCTCACTGAACCCAGTTCCCCCACTCTACGCCTCATCTGTAGCTCACACCTAAACTCCCTGACCACCACTGCATATATAGAGTTAATGCTGAGCCAGGCAGGCTTCAGGCCAGATGCCACAAGCCCTGTCGTCCTGACATGTTAAGTGACTGTCCCAAAGTTAGTGGCACTGGAACCAGGGCAGGAACCCAGAAGTCACCTGCAGAAAAACCTTAACGGTTTAAATAATTCTCACGGTCAAGTTCCTCTCCCCAGCCCAAGGACTCTTCCCAGCCTGCCAGGTGACCTTGGGCAAGCGATGTCCCCTGACCTCAGACTTTAAGCCTTCGCTATGGGGGGGGGTCCCCCGACAATTAGGGATGCATGCAACCAAGGGGATGTGGGCCAAGAACCTGGCACTCTACCAACGCTCCAAAGAGCCCCTCCTGTGACCTTTGACCTCTAGCGGGTCTGCCAACTTTAGATCCAGGACCACAGGTAATCCTGGAGCCCAACCTACCACTTTCTCTCAGACCTTCCCCTTGACCTCTGACCCTAGGAACGCAGAAGGCATCCGGCGATGCAGCGCATGCGCCTAAGGATGCCGGCTTTCCGGCCTTACAGCTGCAAAAGGACGCAGAGGCCACGGGTACCGAGCCGACTCTCCCGGATCCCAGACTCCACGGAGTGAGCGGTGACACTACATTCGACCCCGTCGTCACGCCGCCACCCAGGCCCTGTCTTCGCCGCCTTGCCCTGGACACCCACCTTGAGGCGCGCCGGCTCCTTCACTGGCCCAGGTGTGGTTCAGCCGGGGGGCGGAGCCTAACTTTGGGATGCTGCCATTGGGCGAGCGACTCAAGCCTTTTCCTTGGTGACCTTTCCTGCTGTGGTCCGATTGGTCTGTGGTGCGGCTGCGGAGGAGGGCCCGAATTAACTTTTCTATGATTGGCTGACGAGAACAGGCGCTTGAAGTTTTGTAGGGAGCTGCCATATTGTATCGGCGAGGTCAATACGCGGACTTCCGAGCTGCTGAAGGCGGGACTTCCTGGGCGTGGTTTGGGACTTTCAATTCCCGGTGGGCGGAGCAGGGCGGTGTGGCTCATTTGAATACTGTAATGGTGGCGACCTCTTCTCTGGCCTAAGCGCTTTAGCCACAAGGCTTCATCTGGTCCATGTAACAGCCGCGGGTAGCGGGACTTTCCTAACCCTGCCCCTGTGACTAGAGAGCCATGAGGCAGTCTGCATGTCTTGTTTGGAGTGGTCAGGGAAGACCCCCTTTAGGAGTCCTGTGGGCCAGGAAGGACATGTTGACTTGGTCAAACCTGGCCGGGAGAGGAGACAGGATGTCAAAATTTGTTGTTTTAGTAGCTGAGTGGCTGGAAACGCCATCCCATGGAGCATGGGGCTGATGTTGGTGGGATGTTTCACTTCTGAGTAGAATGGAGTAGATGGGGGTACCATGTGCAGAATTGAGGGAAGGGGAGTCATTGAGGGAGGGATCTTAGCCTTAACCTGGAGGCAACACCTCCCTTCAAAAAGAGACAAGACACCTGTAGCTTGGGGTCAGCCCTCCTGCTTTTAATACTCCCGGCAACTGGAGGCTGTTAATTCGTTCCGATTGTGCAGGTAGAAACCCTAGGCTCCGCGGACCTAGACATGCCTGGTCACAGGATATGGCCTATGCCATGTACCACTGCTTCCCTGCAACACTACCCACAAGAAGGTGGGCAGTTCAGAAGTGCCAGTTCCTCCCTAATGCCATGGGTAGCACTGGAGGAGACAGGCCACACCCCTTCTCACATCCACCCATAGCCTGTCCCAATAAGAACAGTCAGAGGTCCTAAAGGGAAGCCCCAGAGGGAGGGCGGCTGAGCCAACTGCTCTGCCACCTGGCCCTAGCAGGCCACTTCCCCAGCAGCTGTGTCCCAGGGAGGCCCTGTGGCCCCAGTGCCCTCATAGCAGTGTGCAACTGCAGCTCCTCTCCTCCATGGCCATCAGGAGCACCCTGAGGTTTCGGCTGGAGTAAGGCGGGTAACGAAGGTCATTGATTTTCTCCATCCCGGGGCTGCGCAGCAGACAGGCACGCTGGTTGGAAAAGGTGTCGAAGGAGAACTTGCCGTGGTACCTGCCCATCCCGCTTGATCCTGTGGACAGCATGGAACATGGGCTTTAGGTCCTTAAAGGCCAGCTAAGAGGACATCACATAGACTGTGTTCTAACGGGTGGGCTATCTGAGCCTCTTTCCCCATCTGTTCAGTGGACTGATCGCAAGACATTACAGATAGAAGGCTGAACTCCGAGCCTGCCACCAGACCAGTATGCCAGGTTTTGATCTGGAACAGGCAAACTGAAGTCAAGGGCATGAATTCTCGAGCCCGGCTGCCCAAAGTTAAATCCGAGCCCTGTCCTAAACAGGTATGTCACTTGGGCAAGTGACTGCCTCAGACTCCTCCTGTGACAGTGGCACCCTCCTCCTGTGTAGTTCTTAGTGTCTAGGAAGAGAGAAGGACTCAGCTCAGAAAGTCCAGGGGACATGGCCTGGATGGAGTTGGGACGAATGGAGCTGGCTTGTTGGAAGAGTAAAGCCAGAGGAACGTAGAGTGAGCCAGATAGAGTGTGGGTGGGGAGGACTGTGGCTTGGGGGCAACTTAGAGCTGAAGGTGGGTAACATGTCAGGGCCAAGCTCAGTAACCCACAACAGACTAAAGGAGGGGAATGGGAGCAGGGCTCCAGGGCAAGACCTGGACGGGCCAGACCATGCTGTCATTCCAGTACTGATTATGACAAGGACACTTTCAGTGAGAAAGTAGACCCAAAGAAGAAGTGACTGCCAGGGCCACATGCTTTTAGGCTTGCTGGGATACAGCTGTGACATTTACAGTTGTGTGTGTGGGAGCATCTCCACATCCCAGGCCTCCGGGAAGCAGAGGGGCCCAGAGCTGGGGTCACGGGAACTGTGAAGGCTGAGGGAGCATCATCTGACCCTACCATGGAGGTGAAGGCACCAGGACTGAGTGTGTGGATGGGTGGCTATGAAAAAGCCAAAACCTGAAGGTTCCACCACAGTCTGTAGGGAGGTGGGAGGCAGGCTAGGTGGACACGGTCTGTGGAGGGGGCTTCCTCTCATGTCTGCTCCCCTGAGGGTGAGCCACACGTCCTGTAGTCAGGGTACTCGAGCAGCAGAGTGAGGATGCGACCGCGGATCAGCCCAGGAGGCCAGAGGGCTGCTGCCACCTACCCACTCCTCCGAAAGGAAGGCTGGACAGGGTCAAGTGCATGAAGCCATCGTTCCCGCAGAAGCCCCCGCTGCTGGTCCGGGCCAGGACTTGTTTGATCACCTGGGAGAGAAAGAGGAACTTGCTTAGCACATCTGGCTGTACCTTGTTTCAATAGGGACTGAGGTCCAAGGTGGGTCTAATGGAACATACCCACAGACTCCACCCCGGGGACACGTTCTCTGTGTGTCCACCTTTGTGCAACCCTGGCACAAAGGAGAAATCATAAGACCTGGCATCATCTGGGAAAGGTAGAGTGGGCACAAGAGGTAGCTGCTGAGTCTTGTGGTGACAGTTTTCATGAGAGAGAAGGGACAAGTTTGGGCCGCTAAGGCAGGTTTGGACTCAGCAGCCTGAGATTGGCCTTGCCTGACTTCCTTGAAGGGTTTTCCTGCAGTCTGCAGGTCTGAGAAGGCTCGAGGGAAAGGAGACAGGTTTGTCCTACTTAATTTCGTGTTATTCAGTGATGCCAGCTCTGAGGTGGGCTTTGTCTGGTGAAGTGGGTCTCACAGGGTGCAGTATTGCCTCAGCCCAACCTCATTACTGATGGTTGGGAGCCACCATGTGGTTGCTGGGAATTGAACTCAGGACCTTTGGAAGAGTAAGCAATGCTCTAACTGCTGAGCCATCTCTCCAGCCCAGGTTTTTGTTTTTAATTTATTACATTTTATTTATAGTGTGTTTATGTGTACTGGTCTCAGCTCGTGACGGTTTTGTGGGAGAAAACCATATGGAAGTCTGTTCTTCTACCACAGGATTCTTGGAGATTGGATGTCTTTACTGACTGAGCTATCTCACCAGTCCCCTTAATTGGTCAGTTGTTGTTTGTTTGTTTTAATCTTTAGAGATTTGTTTATTTTATGTGTATGTTTTGCCTGCATGCATGTATATGTACCAAGTATGTGCTTGGTGATTGAGGAAATAATAAGAGGGCATCAGATCCCTGGGATCTGGAGTTGGAGTTATGGGTCATTGCAAACCAGCAGATGGTGCTGGGAGCCAAATCTGGGTCCTCTGCAAGAGCACGAAGTGCTCTTAACTACTGAGCCATCTCTCCAGCCTAATTTGGTAAGTTTTGTCTCATGTGCAGGAAGCATTAGATTTGTTTTCCCAGGATCAAATATAACCAGGTGTCAGTGCACGCATTTATGGTCCTAACACTCAGGGGTGGAGTCAGAAGGGTCAGGTTCAATCCAAGACTACACAGTTTAAAGCTAGCCTGGGCTTCATGAGACCCTATCTCAAAAAATTGTCTGTGATGTCATCCAGGAGAGTTTGGCCCGGGTGGGGTTTGACTTCCGGGAAGGAGGGCAGGGGCAAAGCCAAGAGGCCACCATGCCTGAAGTCCTGTAACTACCCAGAGGGGCGTGTTCCCTCTGTTGCTCACCCCCCCCCCCACACACACACACAGCTCACTACTGGTACTTTATCCCACCTGGCTTCTCTGAGAGAAAGCATACAGCGCGAGTGGCTTCTCCCGCCGGTTGATGAAGTCAATGGCCTCATCCAGGTTCTTCACAGTCACCACAGGCAGGATGGGCCCAAAGATCTCTTCCTGCATCACAGGCTCCGTCTCCTGCACATCCACTAACACTGTGGGTGCTGCAATGCAAGGGCAACTCAGCCTCACCCATGGGCAAGACGTGTCCAGCGAGAGGGGCTCCAATGAAGGCTTCTCCACACAGGGCAGACCCAGGGTCTAACTCCCTAGGACCTCACACTTGCGGTCTCGAGTCTCACAGAACAACAAAATCTAGAACAGAAGTTTAAGCCATACTCTGAACTTCTCTAGTGGGGTCATAGCCCAGTGGATCCAGAGTTGGGGAGTCACAGGCTCAAAGTCACAGTGATGGGGTGCTGTGAACTGGGCACCCAGGACTGGGTACTCAGGCCAGGCTCAAGAGGTGGGGCAGAGGATTCAGACACAGGCTGAGACCTGTAGTCCAGCGTGGAAAGGTCTTGGCCCAGGTTGGGAAGAGAGGGACTCACCAATGTAGAGATTGCTCTCATCACTCTGGCCACCAATGACCACGCGGCCACAGCCCAGCAAGCCCTGGAGCCGCTTGAAATGTTTCTGGTTGATGATTCTGCCCAGGCTGGGGGAGGTCTGCGGATTGTCTCCATAGAAACGTGTGATGGCATTCTGCAGGGCAGGTACCAGTCGCTCCTGCATCTCCTGGCTACACAGGATGTAATCGGGGGCCACACAGGTCTGGCCAGCGTTGAAGTAGCGGAACCAGGCCACGCGGTTGGCCACAGTCTGGGGGTCACAGTCATCGTCCACATAGCAGGGGTTCTTACCCCCCAGCTCCAGGGTGATGGGTGTCAGGTGTTTGGCAGCAGCAGCCATCACGATCTTGCCTACATAAGGGTTCCCTGGGTACACGGAAAGGGCCTAGAGTGGCTCACTAGTCAATTGGCTAAGTAGGTGGCCTCACCTGGATCCCGCACAGGGGCTCCAAAGGAAGAATTTATCCTGCACTC